GCGGGCGTGCGCGTGCGACGCAGGAGGGGCGGCCGAGGGCGGAGGGTTGTGGCCGTCGTCGAGCGCCGCTAGGCGCTTGGTGAGAGAGGGCGTGGCGGTGGAGCGCTTCGACATGAAGAGGGAGGGGGCCGGCGGGGGTAGGGGTTGGTGCTTTGAACGGGGTGGGGTTGTAGAGGGTTCCATGGGGGGAATTATGCGATGGAGGAGGAGGTGAGGCAGGGCGGTGACATCGGTTTAGACGGAGGGCAAAGGCGAGGTGAATGGAGAGGTGAATGGAAAAGTTGGGGGAGAGAGGTGGCTGGAAATGCAACATTTGCTTGCACTCACAGTCGTGCGTTGCTGGTGGAGCGAGTCGCCCGAGGGCTCCAGTGCCGCCAGCCGTGCCCTCTGTCCGTACCCGTACACGTGTCGGGAGGTGGACCGATGCGATGCGATGCGATGCGATGCGATGCAATGCGATGCAATGCGATGCAATGCCTGTGCAATGCCTGTGGTGTGATTCCTTCAACGCCAATGCGTTTCAGTCATCCCCTTCAACTTCACTCGTCTGCTCATTCCCACTTTGCAATGACTCCTTCTCTGATGATTCCTTCATATGACTCTCAGTCATTCCTCCCTCACGTCGTTGGCCAACTTGGCCAACGGCACCTCCCCTCTTGCTCAGTGGTCATCACAATACTGGTACTGTATGAAAAGTGGAAAGCATTCCATATTCCGCCTTCGCCACCGCCACACGCCATCCCGGGCGATGTCCTCCGCACGCTCCTCCGCACGCTCCTCCGCACGCCTCGCCTCGCCTCGCCTCTCTAGGCGTCCGCGCCCCCGCGCTCGCGCAGTCGGAGCTCGCGAAACCTGGACATCTCGGGCGCGCCGTCGTCCTCCGGCCGCGCGTCGACGCCGTGCACGTCCGGGATCACGCCGGCGACGGGCATGCCACGCAGGTCGAGGATGCTGGACGCGCGCGCGCGCCCCGCCTGCCGGGTCCGGCTCCGCGCGCGCGCCCGCCCGCGCCCGCGCCCGCTCCACCGCTCCACCT